AATAGATTTTATTATTAACTTTTTTTTTTGTTATTACCGCATCAACCACGCAGGGTCATTAGCGTATTTCGATTTTGTAACATATGTGACAGTTAAAATAGTTTTTAGATAAGTAAAGTAAATTTGAGTTTATTCTTTACATAGCATTAACCCATTAACGGCCGTTCAATATACAAAGGGAAATTTGACAATTAATTTATTAGATTGGAATAAAAACACATAAATTAAGACTAATTTACAACCAAAAAGATTTTTTCCCATTTTTAAGGAAAACAGTACAATATTTAATAAAGGAACATATTGTATCTTAAATGTAAATTAAATTTTAAGGTGAAAATTTTCGAAACATTCGGGGTGTAGATCTACACCTTTTACACAAACAAATAGTATTACTTTTGCACATTTTACATTTTTGCACTATCGTATCTTTTTGTAATGTGGCCAATATTGTCGAATCTGGTTTCATCTGGTAAAGCAAATGTAGATTCACGTCCATGTACCAAGTGACACTGATGTAGCGGATTCTTCACTATTATAAATTATAGATATAGATCTATGTCGGCTCATGATTTCTCTTAAAATGTGCACTTCTTTATCCTCATCCTTTGACCAATGCATATCAACTTGAAGCAGAGTGTAAACCAGATAATATACATATGCTAATAATTTTTTTTTAAATCTATGTTATTCATTTCAAAATCGTGACAGTTATTCTGGGATGCATAAATACTTGTAAAATATAGAATGCTCTCAATTACTTTTTTATAAAGAAATAGTGAAAAAACTTCAATATTTGACTTGCCTCCATGGTGGACTTTTATATTGTCTAAATATCAATCAGACTAATGTTGAATTACTACTGAGCACGAATGAGTATCTGTTGTTACAACTTGAGACAAATTTGGATTTACTATTTTTGCCTGGTTTTTTCTATGGACGTTTTATCTGTGGTTCAGAGGATTATTATAATCAGAATCCCAATCACTTGTATTTCATATTTAGTTTTGTATTTAGTACCTTCAATATCCAATTTTATTGATTCTTCACAAATAATATTATCATCAATGTCTTCTACATCAGAAACTTTCTAATCTAATCTCAGCAGTAAATAAACCACATTAAGGCCTTTCCTTGCGTTTCTGGGCATAGCTAGATTCCAATGTAAAAGTTTATATCAAATAACTCAAAAACTATGGCAGATATTGAGATGATTTTTTTTTATATGGAGGGTCTTAAAAAGTTCTAGTGCACTATTTGGTTGTAAATTAATAAATTGTTTAAACAATATTTTTTTTCAAATATTTTTGGTTAAAATAAACGTAAATTTTTTTTGAAATAGGGCACTACAGAATTTGACCCACTTTCCGAATCTGTTTTTATTTTTAACATTAAGTGTAACACAAAGCAGCTATTTGGTATAAACTTTTTTAAAAATCTCAAATTTTGCTAAATGTTACTTTCTCTCTCGGCCAGTACAGGCTGTCCTTGTCGATAGTTTCTGGATTCTCGCCGACGGTTAGGTTGGTTAGGTAAGAAGTATAATACCCTCTCGAAGGTGGGTCATAAATAATGTTGAATAACATTATTAGGGTTTATTTCGACTTTTGACAAACCAGTGTGTTAATTGTTTTTAAAATGCGTAGTTCACGAAGACGTTTATGTTCCGATTGAGGAAATTTTATATAAATAAGCAGTAAGTACTTATAATTTGATTAAATTTTTATATGAATAGAAATATTTTCTGTTGATTTGTGACATTTTCCTTCTAAATGTTTATACTGTTTTTATAATAATACTATTGCTTCAGTATTTCCTTATATAATAATAATTTATTATTGTAGAAACTTGGTCGGCGTAGAATTTTGGTCAATAAGCCAGTACATTTTTTTGTATTTCAATCAGAATTATTATTTTCTTTTCTTCTTTACATAAAAGCTTAGAGTAATACTCAAATATTTTGCAGTATTTGAATACGGAATATTTATTGGACAATACCCAAACATTTTGCTGTATTTGAATATGGAATTTGATTATTTATATTTATAGGAATATTTATTTTGAACGTTTTTGTTAGTAAAGTTTACATAATATATGAAGTTTGTTTCTTCAATTGCGTGTCTAGCCATATTAGTAAAGGGTTATAAGGATTTTCTCGTGACACTCAATAATCCAGGTAGCTGACAACGTTTTTAGTTATTGTAGACCTATAAGAAAAAAACCTACCTGTTTCCTGCATAAAGTTCGGAGCCGTTTTTTAATGATTAACAATTTAATGCAAAAAACGCAATTCTTTCGATTTTTGCACTCTATTATTTATTTATTTATTTTTACGCACAACAGGCCGTTAAGGCCTAGGGCATTTTTTTACAACATAATTCTAACTAATTACAATTATTTTAAACAAAACTTTAACTTAAATATGTATATATATAACATTCTTAACTACTCTGAAGGACCTGGTGTACAATATTTTGCCATTCGCTTCTATTTTGTGCTTTTATTTTCCAGTCCCTCACCTTCACGTGTTTAAGGTCTTCCTTCGCTTTACTAATCCACCTCGTTTTGGGTCTAATTCTTCTTTCGGGGCCGATTAATTTTCTGGTTATTACTAGTTATGATGTGCCCCAAGTATTCCAATTTCCTGATTTTTATGGAATTTAAAACTTCGCATTGTTTTCCTAGTTGTTCGAGATTTTGTTCGTTTGTTTTGCGATCCATCCATGATATTTTCAAAATACCACATTTAACAAGAAGCATTCGAAATGTGGTAACACCACATTTCGAAGGCATCTAGGTTTTTAATGTTGGATTTTTTAAGTGACCAAGCTTCAATTCCATATAAAAGGGTAAAGAAGACATCAAAGCATTCTTATCCGGAGCGATATATTGATATCGCGATTACAAAAAAGTTTTCTCATTCTATTAAAAGTTGACCGTGCAATTCCAATGCGGCATCTTATTTCTTTTGTCTAATCAGTATCTTCTGTGATCCATGCTCCAAGGTATTTATACAAAGATATTTGTTCATTGTTAACTTTGATGCTTTGTGCTTTTGTAAATACCATGAACTTGGTTTTCTTCAAATTTATTTTTAGTCCCAAAAATGGACCTATAATATGATATAATCCCTATAAAAGGTCTTCCGGCGTCCATTTTTCATTCAATTCGGTTGTTCCATTGTTCTTTAAGTTCTTTCGAGCTCATTAAGTTTCTTATTTCTTCCATTCGTGATTTCTAAGGCAATCCTTTCTTCTGGATTCCGGTAGAGGTTCATACAGGTACTTGTTTTAGGAGTCTACTGTCGTTCATTTATTGGACCTGTACCCATTTGAGCTGCTTTCGTTGTATGCCATCCATGACTGTACTTTCTATTCTCATACTTTATTGCATTAAGTTCGACGAGATATCTTTCTTCGATGTCTCTTTTAATCGTCGTGTTTCACAACCGTATAAATAAAGCAGGCTTTTTACCGCGGTTTCATAGGTTGTAGTGCTAGAGAGAGCATGTCAGCTGTGCCAAAACGAAAAATAATCCTCCTTATTGCTTCCACTGGAATAAGCTTGACCATTTAACTGGGCTCGGGCTACCTCCTTCTAATTCTTTAAACACGTTTTAACTCGTTTAAACTGTTTTAAAATTAATAATACTCATTATTTTATAAATATTTACTATATACTATACTATACTATATAAATTTATTAGATACATTATTACCTAAATAAGTGAAAGTGGTTCAATTTAGAAATTATATAGTAAATAATAAATATTTGAAAACTGATGCACATATTCCTCCCGCGATTTGGGATTCAAGTACTAATTTTATAAATCGCACTTCTACTAATAGACGTAAATCCTTTCATTTTAATTTCATGAATGTTTTTATTCAACATTATTTCAAAACCGCACTGAATAGAAGGCAGCCCGTTCGTTTATTGTATAGACCCAAGACTTTACACAATAGGGGGTTTTATAAGGTAGGTATAAAGCTAACCTCTAGTACATGATGACGTTTAGAATATTCTTAGTGAATGGATTTTGTTTTCGTAAAGAAAGATATTTTTGAAATAGATATCTCTCTGAATTTTACCGTTACAATTTTCGAGGATAAGCCTTAAGTGAGTCAGCTTTTTCACAATTTGAGTTTTCTTCTAACAAAGCTATTAACTCTCAGTAGTTAGTGCCATCGTCATTTAATATTTCGAGAATTTACTGAAATATACAAATGCGCTACTATATAAACGCATTCACATGATAATAGTTTAGCTTACTTCATTTTATTTTATATGAACTTCATATTATTTTCATATGTATATAAACAAATAAATACAAGGAAACTTTCAAATTAAGTTAATAAAAAAAACAAATAAAACGTTTACATCACATAGCAATTCTATAAATAGAGAATGATGTGTAATGACGAGATCGTATGTTAAAATTTCAGATTGTTTTTAGTCTAATGAAAAAAATAAGTATTTTCCAAAGTTTTCAGTTTTTTGAAGTTCTGTATTAGGCATTCTCTAATAAGAATAAAATTTTACTTTATTTTGTTAGACAACTATAAGATACCTGTTAAAAGATACAAGATAATTTAATAATTACATCAGTTTCAGATTTAATTTTTACGTAATTACTTAAGGGGGATATACGAGGGGACACAAAAGGGCATACTCAACCCCCCTTTGCGCTTAGACTAAATGAACTAGAAACAAATTTAACAAATGTCTATTATTAGTCATTGAGGAACAACTTCTTATCATGTATATACTCTATAGCTTTAAATTCTAAATCTAACGGTGTTTGACTGATGTAACCTTGCTTTATGAAAGATTCACCTTAACCTTTTTGTTTCTAAATATTATTATATTATTGACCGGTAATTAAATAATTAGTATTAACTTATGAAATATTTATTGTAGAGAATACTTTATTTACTATAAATAATAATTCTAGCCTTATGTTCTTAGTTATCTCTGCCTACATAATCTAATTTCATTTTTAGATAAATTTGAGTTCGAAGAATATCCTGTAACTGACGAAAGATTTGTAAAAGTCGTACGACTACTAGAGCACGCAGAAAGGCAAGTTGATCTGTTCAAAAGATATCCCGAAGTTAATAAAATACTATCTATTTTTGTCTTATCGGTGGATGCATCTCTTAGAGGCAAAGGAATTGCAAAGAAACTTACCAATAAATCAAAGTAAGGTCACAGCATATTAACGACTTAATGATTATTTGTCCTTACCTGTCTGATATATATATATATATATATATATATATATATATATATATATATATATATATATATATATATATATATAAACCATTTCCAAAAAAATTCTTTTAAATTTATTACTTTCACTACATAAAATTTTAATATTATCAAAATCCATAATATGGTCTTTGTCTATTACATGCTCTGCCAAAGCATAAGATGGTTTCTTAATTCTGCAATCACTCTTGTGAGAAATAATGCGATTTGAGAGATTTCTTCCAGTCTCACCAATGTACTCAGCTTCACACTGAGTACAAACAATGCTGTATACTACATTTGTTTGATCTAATTTGTCTATAGGATATTTAGTTTTGGAATATAAAGATGAAATAGTTTTGATGTTCCTTGTTGCTATTTTTATATTGTCAATAACCTTTAGTGTTTGTATTAATTTAGGAGTTAATGATGGTATAAAAGGTAGTGAATGATAATATGTTTTGATTGTTGGATACAGTGTTTTGAGATTTAGCAAAAAATGGTGTTAAGTTACTTATATTTAATAAATTAGAAAAAAGCATCCTATGTAGCATATCTGGAGGATAAGAGTTTTCAATTAAAATATTTTTTAACAAATGAAGATCTTCTTGTAGATAGTCTGGATGAAAAAGTTGTAAAACACGTTCCTTTAATCCTGTTATAAGGTTCATTTTCATCTTATTTGGATGATTAGAGTACTAGCTTATAAATCTATTACTACATATGGGTTTTCTGAACCATCTGGTTTTCAACATATTGTCTGTATTTCTTACAATTCTCATGTCAAGGAATAGTAGAGAATTACCTACCTCTTCCTCAACTGTAAATTGTATATGTTTCAAGAATTTTGTGTTTAGGAAGTGCCAAAACTAGATCATCTACATATCTTTTGATAAATGGAATGAAAAAAGTGCAATTATTGATACAATCACTAATAACATCACCCATGACATAGCTACTTAGAATGGGTGAAAGACTAGATCCCATAGGGCTACCAAAAATTTGTTTATAAAAAACACCATTAAATATAAAAATTTTTGGTAGTCCTATGGGATCTAGTCTTTCACCTATTCTAAGTAGCTATGTCATGGATGATGTTATTAGTGATTGTATCAATAATTGCACTTTTTTCATTCCATTTATCAAAAGATATGTAGATGATCTAGTTTTGGCACTTCCTAAACACAAAATTCTTGAAACAGTCAACATTTTCAACAATCATAATCAACATATACAATTTACAGTTGAGGAAGAGGTAGATAATTCTCTACCATTCCTTGACATGAGCATTGTAAGAAATACAGACAATATGTTAAAAACCCGATGGTTCAGAAAACCCATATGTAGTAATAGATTTATAAGCTATTACTCTAATCATCCAAATAAGATGAAAATGTACCTTATAACAGGATTAAAGGAACGTGTTTTAAAACTTTCTTATCCAGACTATCTACAAGAAGATCTTCATTTGTTAAAAAATATTTTAATTGAAAACTCTTATCCTCCAGATATGCTACATAGGATGCTTTTTTCTAATTTATTAAATATAAATAACTTAACACCATTTTTTGCTAAATCTCAAAACACTGTATCCAACAATCAAAACATATATTTACATTCGCTACCTTTTATACCATCATTAACTCCTAAATTAATACAAACACTAAAGGTTATTGACAATATAAAAATAGCAACAAAGAACATCAAAACTATTTCATCTTTATATTCCAAAACTAAATATCCTATAGACAAATTAGATCAAACAAATGTAGTATACAGCATTGTTTGTACTCAGTGTGAAGCTGAGTATATTGGTGAGACTGGAAGAAATCTCTCAAATCGCATTATTTCTCACAAGAGTGATTGCAGAATTAAGAAACCATCTTGTGCTTTTTCAGAGCATGTAATAGACAAAGACCATATTATTGATTTTGATAATATTAAAATTTTATGTAGTGAAAGTAATAAATTTAAAAGAACTTTTTTGGAAATGGTTTGTATTAGCAAAAGTGATAATAATTTAAACAAAAGTTAAGAAATTCAAAATCTAAGCAAAATTTATAATTATATTATTTCTATGTAATTTATATATGCAGTCAGTAAAATATCACATTTTGAATTTTCCATGTATTTGTTACATTTTTTCGGGCATCTATCAATGGTGAATAAATCTTCTTCTTTTTTGTTACTAAACAAAGAAGAATTTTTTAAACAAAATTTTATTTTTGACAATATGTCAAAAATAAAAATTTTTAAGTTAGAATTTATGAAATTTAGGCTGGTTTGTAGCTATTCAATTTTTGTTTACAAATTCAATTGTTTTTGTTAAGAAACTTCATAAAAATTTTTCAGAGAAACATTTATTAGAATAAGACATTTTTTTATTAATATTTTTTGTCATTAATATGTAAGCAGTAGTTTTATATAACAAACTAATTTTATTTGGTGAGTTAACAAAAAATTTTTTATTTCTAGTTCAACTTTGTAAGATATTTTGTATTTTTTCACAATCACAATTGAAAGCTCGAGTAAAAAATAGTCAACAAATAGCCCCTTTTATTGACTCCAACCCATCCAAATCAGTTTTTTATTTTTTTCAAAAGAGTCACAAGTACTCTTTTTTCTTACAAGATATATATATATATATATATATATATATATATATATATATATATATATATATATATATATATATATATATCTTTCTGAAAGAAATTCAATTAACAAATTGTGTTACGATGTAAATTTTTATTAATCGGTACTCCTTGTTAAACGGCTTCTATCGATGACTGATCGAAGAAAATTCGTCAAGCGGAGCTGACTACGAGAAAAGTACATTTCATGTACAGAGGATATGACTAGATCAGATATCGTCAATATATTGTTCATTCAATGTTGAATTAAATTAAATTAAAGTGACAATTTAATAGATAATGAATTAAGTAATAATCAATAATTTTTACATGAAAATAATTAATATCACAATTTCAATTTTGGATTATTTATTTAATTACATTTTTAAAATTTAGAAGGGAACTATTTATGATTATAATAAAGATCGATTTTACTTACCATCAGTGTATTTGTTATTTGACAATTAATTATCTAAACAATATGGGCTAATCAAATTTTAATTTGGTAAAATTCATCATGAATACGTCTGCTATTACAACTGGCTGACTGTAAAGCACCGCATATTACATATTAAAATGTACGGAGAGCTATTAAAATGTTTCTGGTCAAGATATACTAGATATTTACAAACTAATACCACCAGGGATATGATATGGAAGTTGGACTGTAATAAATGATAGTTAACTAAGAGCGTGGAGTAAAAGAGATAATGTGTATTTCAAATGTGTCTGAGAAGATTGCTGGGAATGAAATATTAGAAAACGATAACACCAAGAAAAGCTGGGAAAAACTCAAAAATAACATAATTATCATAGCCAAAGAATTACTTGGAGAAAGGAAAGTAACCAGCACTAACATATCAAAAAAGAAAACCAATTGGTTTAGAGCGGAACTGAAAAGAAAATGTTAAATACAAAAGAAAGTCTTTTTACAATACAGAACACAACAAACACAACAGGCATACAACCGGGAACCAGTATAAATGAGCCAGAAATGAAAAAATACTTTACTACGAAACACAAAAAGAAATATGGAGAATGATCAGAGGACAAAGAAAAGAGATAAACGAACTAATAAAAACGAAACACAAACAAGGAAATATGGATAGACCACTTTCAATCCCTATTTCTAAAGGTGACGATAATAAACCATCAACACCGGAGGTGACGACAAACGAAGAAATAAATATTAAGATAGAAGAGGTAAAGGAAGCATTAAGAAAATTAAAAAAAACGGAAAATCACCAGGAGAGTACAGAATACTGGACGAGGTAAAGAATGGAGGATCAGATCTGACGAAACAATTACTAAAATTACTTCAAAAAATAATAAAACAAAACCGGATTCATCAAGAATGGAGTTCAAGAATCCTAATGCTCTTTTTCAATGGGAAACAAATTGCAGCCAGAAAATTATAAAGGAATTAATTGACTAACCACTAAAATTAACAACCAAAGTGATAACAGATAATCTAAATGAAATTGTAAATCTAGCAGAATAACAACAAGGTTTTATGTCGGACAAATCATGCACCAAGGCTATATTTATAATAAGGCAAGTACAAGAGAAATCATTAAAATATAACAAACTGGCATATCTTTGTTCCGTAGACATAAAGAAGGTATTTGACTGGATTAAATAAAAGGACGATATCCACTTACTGTACGCAAGAAAGATACCTTTAGGAATAATAAAAACGATTAAAAATATCTACCAAAATAACACAAAAAAAGTAAAAGTAGAAGAGCTAGATGACCCTGTTAAAGCTGGCAGTGGAATAAGATAGGAAAATTCTCTGAGTCCTCTATTATTCAACCTGATTATGGATAAAATAAAAAAGTAAGAACTAAAAAAGAATTCCAAATGAAAGAAAAACAATGAAAAAGACAGCAAATATTTGATTTCACGCAAACAGCGCCTTTGTATCTGTTGATACGTATTTCGACCTAATAAGTCTCATCGGAACAGTTATTCAAAGGTGTTCTCAACGTGAAAGATCAATATTTTCTGTCTTTTAAGAAGCAACAGTAACATGGCTTCGAATACGGACGCACTAGCGACATCTAATTTAACAATCGCAAAATAGTTTCGAAACACAATTCAGATTTCTGCTTTTATCTGTGCTTTCTAAAAATTGCAAAGCAAAACAGACGTTGATAAAGGTGTTAAAAGAGACGTGGGGAATCTAAAATTTGCATTCCACGACACATCTTTTCAACTAAGCAGAAATCCTTAGCGAATTGGTTTCTTGTACTCGTACAGAGTAAATCCGAAAAAAGTGAAAAAGACAGCAAATATTTGATTTCACGCAAACAG